ATTAAGCCTCACCTAAAAACCATGTGTTTACGCTACTGCACATTAGGGCAGACTAATGTGCATTCATTTAGTACCTCGCATTGGAGGTAGAAAATTTAACATGCATTAGGAAAAACACATTAATGAACATGTAGACACACCCACAGAGTACTTGTTCCTAAGTGCATCTCTAGTCCCATGCCTTCCAGGTCAGAGAAACACAAAAGACAACCCAAACATAGCTGGGAGACGCATGCTATTTCTCAACATTTTTTATGTGAAATTTTAAAACTAGAAATGTCACCACCACTTCAAAATCTGGGAAAAAAAATCAACCTGTTTCACTAAGAGGCAAAGCCAATAGTGTCTCATGGCTACCCCTTCTCTGTAGACAAATGGGAAGGGCTCTGTGAGCCACAGTTTGGGAAAGTTTGTTCTAAAATATGCTGTGCTTTTCTTAAAAAGATACTTACTGGCAAAATGAAGTGTTTGTTAGTAAGTAAGAATCAGCTCTTTAGAGATATACTAGGTCACAACCACATTCCATCCATGTATTGTAACAAACAGGATAGAAATGTTCTATGCTTAATCCTCCCATGCTACAGGTATAAAAAATTGACTCTGTGCTCTTCTTCCCTCACACCTTACACCTTTTCTTACTCACATAGGTCTACATACTCTTCACAGTCATTTTGCAACCGTGTCAGGGGTTGATAATATACTGTAAGAGTTTCAGCATTCTCTTTTTCTAGGCAGGTTAACCTTGAATGCAGTTTACTGACTAAATTCAAGGCTATGGGCAGTTACAATAAATGGTACAAACTAAAGGTGGCTAAATTTTGCTTAACTTAACACCAATGAAACTTTAGTGACTTCACAGTCTGACTAAAATTTAAGAGAATATTTAGCTTGTTATGTTTATTTTACCCTTCCTGGTTTGATTCAGGTCTTAGCCTTATAAACTGTAGATCGATTTTCCATGGGGGACAAGTAAACGAAAAAAATACACTTTTCAATTAGTAAAATGGATCATTAAAAATTGATGCAAAATGGTATAACAGGTATTACTGGGTTTTTTTTCAATCAAGTCCTGAGTTCAACTGGGGATTAAATTGCCTGGTGTCCCACACATTAATAATTGCAGAACCTGACATTTATAAGACTACTATAAAGAATGCATCAAGCTTTCAGAAGCATGTCATTTAAAAAGTCTGTGGATTAGATACTGACATGCCTAGGTGGTTGCTAATAATTCATTAAAATGAATTTCAATTAATTGTTGTACAGATATCATCCCTTTCTTGACAAATATTAATAAGGTAATTTATAGACATATTTTCTTGCATTTAATAAATTATTTCCATATTATTAAGTGTAATTTCAAATTATACAAAAATATTATCAATCATTTAGTTAAGCATTTGGTAAAAATCTAATAATAAAATCTATATCCAAAGGGGTACTGTCCTTCTGTCATCATAATGGTGTAAACATATAGTAATATGTTCTAACAAAGGGATATTTCTTCCCTTTGGTGGTTATGATCAGCTCTGATAAATACAGCCAGGGACTAAGCTCAGAGTAATGCATGTGTCCTGCAGCAGCTGAGATGGAATTGATTATGACTGCAGAGATACTGTCAAGTAAAAATGTGTTCATGCAATACTATTTTTCCTTGCCATATGTTCTGTGTTAGAGCGATCAGATTGTATAATATTTCTGCTAACATCTATCACAGATTCCCTTTTGGATACCAGGCAAAATCCTACCACTAGTGAAGTTAGCATGACTTTTACTATTGACTTCAGTGGGGCCTGAATTTCACTTACTGTTTCCTCCTGATTCATTTTTCATTTTCTCTGCTCCTACACTTCTGTACTCCTCCTCTATATGTTCACCTCAGGAGAGAATCATTCTTCTATCAGTGCTGTCTCCTTTTCTGTCCTATAAAAGAATAGAAATCTATCATCTAAGGTAGCTCAGGTACTGACACCAGTGACGTTGCAATGGTTCAGTTTTCAATCTCTGAGTATACGCCCAGAGTCTCAGGTAGGCTTGTCCAACCCACATCAAAGCCCATAATCCTGTGACTTCACAGTTATCAGTATCTGCACTAGCTAAATTAGACCCATGTTTCAATCACAACTCCAGCTGCAATGTTGACACACTAGGACTCAGAACACTCTAGCTCTGTGAATCTTATCTGAAAGCGTATTTTTCTCTTCATCATTTCCTCCCTCTCTCCCTCTGCTATTACTTAACTGTAGAATCATGTTATTTAAATTTTTTTGGGTATATTCTGTTGTACCATAGGACCACTCAATTCTCATTAAGGCAACCTACACGGGGAAAAAAAGACTTTTAAAAAAATTCAGAGCTAGTTAAACATGGGGGCAACATGGGGAAAACAATTTTCAGATGGAAACTTTTGCATGTATTTTAAAAGTGGAGGGACAAAAATGTTAAAAGTGGGTAATTTTCACATGCCACGTTTATGACTTGATCTGCTAACTCAACAGTGGGATCCCTAAAAGGGGCAAACCTACTTAACCATCAAGAAAGAATCTCAAACAGAGCCATCATTTTTAGGTCTTTAAAAACTGACAAAGACACTTTACAATCATTCTGCCATTTTGGGCAGCCAATGTAAAGGGAGAAGGGAGTATGATCACACTTGCTCAAACAAGTAAATAAACATACTGCTGTATCCAAAGAGTTGCAGGAACCAAAACAACCTGCATATTATATTTAAGGATTAGAATCAATTCATCTTATCATTAGGAGAATGCATAGTACTGCTGTGAATTTAAGCAAAGTACAAAAAAGGCAGAGTTGTTCTGTGCTAAGAACACTTTCTTCATAACTGATGCATGATTTCCATTGGAAAGGTAAATTGGTACCAAGACTCTTAACTTGGTTCAAAATTCTGAAAAAGCCTCTTCAATAGAGATGACATTCTGTTTCTCCCTCTCCCCTGTATCCCCCACAAAAAAACCAAACAAACATGCATGGTCAAGGCCTGATCAGGCTGAGGGAATCAGGCTTCACAAAATGACAAAGAAACTATGTTAAAAATGAAAATATTGGCATTATGACTTTAATGGAACACAGGTATATAATGGTAGAAGGGGCCTCCCGGTGTCAAATCCAATCCACTTCATTCCCAGAAAAACATTTAGGTCCACAACAACATCTACCTTGGTCCCTTTTATACTACAGAGCTGCAAAGCATAAGATGTCTATTTAAAAAAAAACATACACTTGCCACAGTTGATGAAACAGGATGCCCCCCACTGCCTTCATACTGCAGTGGCGGGGAAATTGTTGGATGAAAATATGCTCAGATAATCCTAGGAGGAGCATCACCACTTTGTGTCACTTGCAAATGTCGTATGTGTACATCTGGTTCTTACACTATGGTCACTGATGTATAGTATACAGGACAGATCCCAAGACTGATCCCACAGGAACACCATTGCAAAGAAATTCCCATGCCCTACACTCAGATGAGACAGAATCCAGAAACTAAAAAAGTTACATTTTATAAAGTAATTCCTTATTCAGGGCAGCTCATTCAAAGCCAGAGGGAGAAAGCCAGAGGGAGAGAGCAAGAGAGAGTAGATTCACAAAGATTTAAAATCATACTGCAGTTAGACATTCTAAGGAGCTCTGCAACACCAATAACTATATTATGTTGTATAGTATCATATACAATTAATATACTTTACATCATATATAATATGAAATATCCCTAATATAATTTTACTAGTGAATTGCCCATCAAGAATGATGAGGGGAAGGGAGGAGGGGGAAGTGTCACCACCCACTACCCTGTTCTGCCACCACCTCTCAGGAGCAAGGGGTGGGGGCAGCTTGCCCTACCACCCCCCCTCCATCCCCTCTGCCAGCACCCTGCACCGCCACCACCTCCAGCATCACTGGCCTTGCCCCCCAGCCCTGCTCCTTGGAGGCAGCAGAGCACCACCATTATGGCAGGGACAGAGCCTACTCCATCCCCTCTGTCCCTGCAATCATGGCGGAGCTCCTCACTCTGACTGGTTGCTTCACTTACCAATCAGAGTGCTCCAACAACATTACAGACAGACTAAGCCCTTTATTATATAAGAATAATATATGGCTGTCATGATTACTCTCATTTCCCATATATGGAAATGTAATAATATTTTTGTGAAAACTAGAGTACAGACTAAAGCAAACATATTTGTTTTTATTATACCTCTGGATTTTGAAATAGCAGCAGAATTTGTCAATCCCAGATCAGCCTCATCAGCCATCTTCAGACCCACCAATAAGACAATTATGGAAGACAATCATCCTTGACTGCAAGGAGTTGCCAAAGAAGGATTCTAAAACAGTGGTCTCCAACCTTTTTAAGGTGAAGATCACTTTTAGAAAAAAAGGGCAATCTACCATGCGCACCCCCACCCACAGCTGATCAGTCGGGGGGCAGATTGAGGCCCCCACGATGAGGGAGGGAGTTGGGTAGGGGCAGGGGAGAATGAAGCCAAGGTTAGGCCAGGGGAGGGTCAGAGCCGAGGCAGCTCATCCAGGTGAACAGTGGGGCTCCTGCCACTGCACGCACCCCAGCAGAGGCCTGGGGGCATGTGCCCCCCATCTATGTGTGGGGTGAGGTGGCTAGCACTGCACTCTGAGCTTTGCATCCCAGGCTTTGAGCCCCAAGCCCTGAGATGCAGCAAGGCTAGGCATGCAAGGGCCAGTACACAGCAGCAGCTGGCTTGCCCCATGCACAGATCAAGGGGGCACATGACCCCCGAGGCTCTGCCAAGGTGTGTGCAGTGGCGGAAGCCCCACTGCATGCCTGGACAAGTCACACAGGTTCTCACCCTCCGCCAGCCTGGCCTAACCAGGGTTCCACTCACCTAGCAGCAGGGGGCATGGCTCAGCCCAGTGTCATGCATCCTGCAGCTTCTACATCCCACCACTCCTGGACTGTGTCCCGTCTACTCCCAATCACAAAGTCTCTCACAGTCAATCTCTGACAGTTGAGATTGACTGTCAGGGGTTCCCCAATTGACCGGTTGATCAGGATTGACCAGTTGGTGACCACTGTTCTAAAATGAAGTACAGCAGTAGGTAGAAGATCCTACAGGGATTACAAAATGGTATCGTAAATCCCTGTACTAATGAATGTTTGTTAAGCCCCAGGTTATCATCTCTATTAACCACTTTACAAGAAACTGTCTCTCCTGAATACTGTGGCAAAGTTGATAAAGAATATATTACCTAAAGTAACTATAGAAAAACACTAAATCTATTCAGAAACTAGGTTGGTATGCATGACATGTACTTAAGGATTTATAGATACAATTGTCATTTCAAGAAAGGGTCACTTTGTAATACAGTATTTGTTTCATGTAACTTGTGGTGGGTCACAATAGAGAAAGGCCTTAAAGTTGATTAAACATTAAACTGCTCTTTTCAATATAATGATAAAGCAATGCTCCATAAATTGAACTGTCTTTTTCTATTTCTCTCATCACAATCTGTTCTTAGATTTTTTTTTTTTTTTACTTCCTGAAATATGTCTTAAACACTGAAGATTTTTGAGAATGTGGGAGTTCAGGACAAAGAGCATTCATCACTCACAGGACTAGCCTCTGTTTGGGTGGTTACAGTCCTCTGCTGGGAAGCAGGTGACACAGTTTTAAACACTCGGTGGATGCACCTACATGTGCTATTAATTTGAAGTAGGCTCACTGCACAGTAAAAATACTGTGCAGTAAGCCTACCTGGAAGCACATCTACACATGTTCCCTGTTGGGAGCAGATTTGCTCCCAATGGCTGCATCCAGACAAGCACGGGCATGTGGTATGTGGTGCCACTGACATGTTTGCAGTGCCACATACTGCACATTCATCAGTTCTCCAGGCTGCAAGAGAGTAGTGCAGAGTGGGGGGAGAGTTGACCCCTGGATATCCAGGGGTTTAAAAAAAAACATGCAAAAAGAAAGCAGATTAGTGTGCGCAGGGGCAGTGCTCACCACTCAAAACCAGAGCCTGGCCACCTGAGCAGCATGATCACCACTGCTGCAGCCCCAGGAGGCCCACAGGGCCTCAAGTAAGGCTGCTGTGGCCAGCACAGCATTGGCCCCAGCCTCCCCTACCCCACACAGGATAATCTGCTATGCACCAGAGGGTGCATGGCACAGGCATTTCCCAGGGAAAACTAGGGCTGGCACAAGCTAAACAAGCATGGTCATGCAATATATGTGGCTCTGCAAACACACTTGCAGCACCACATACCTCACAGTCCAGTGATATCCAGGTGTACAAAATAAACGGAGAACAAAACTGCAGAAAAAACTCCAAAGCGGTGCACACTCAGGCAGTATGCACTGCTAAGAAGCAGAGCTGAGCCACTCAGAATTGTGCTGCAGCTGCTGGCCTGACTCCATCCAGCAGGAAGACCATGGCTGCAGCTCCAGGAGGCCCCCAGGACCCGTTAAGGCTGATGGGGCCAGCACTGTGCTGGCCCCAGCCTCCCCTACTTCCCCTGGAACAACTTGCACCACTGCTACTTGTCCCCAGAGAACCAAATGTCCACGCACGTCTGGACACCCCCCATGAGTCTAAGTAACTGCAGTTTTTGGCGCTCATGCCCTGTGATGAAATATGATCATCCTGACAGCACAGTTGCTGGAGGAGATTACTTCCCATCTGCTAGCCCAAAAGTCTAGTCATTCAGGATCAGGTAACACAGGTTCTGGATCCCTCCTCACCCAGGAGCATTTCAGCCTATATCTCCTACTTCCCAGAAAAGTGATGTAACCACCTAAACACCCTCCACACCTCCTACTGAAGCTGGTCTATTGGGCAGCCAAGAAAGGAAGATATGTGAGGCAAGGACAAGAGCAGAGCAGAAAGAGACTGGGTCAATGAAATGGATGCTGCCTCAGAAGCAAAGCAGCCCCTTGTTCCAGGCTTGTCCCCTGCTTTTTATAAAATGAATAATAAAAACAAGATGCAGCAGATGAGCTTCAAGGAAAGAGGTGCAGCACACTCTGGGCAATGTTTGGCCCGTGGCTTTGTGGCTAGAGCACTTGCTGGAAAGCTAGCACCCTCTAAGGGAGTGGGACTTAGAACGCAGATCTGTATTCACTGAGTATATGTCCAACTAGACTCTTGGGCTAAAAGTGGGAGAGCCCTCCCTTCCCTCCAACCTGTTACTTATGGCTCTTCTGTGACTAAGATTTTGTCCATGTAACCAGGTGCAATTAAGTTTCTGCATGGTGTTACGCATGTGCCTGAGTGATTCTGCTCTGCCCACACAGCTCCTTGGTCAGTAAAGAAATGTCAGATAGGTGTTGCTGTGCTGAAATCCAAACTGTGCATATGTGTCAGAAACTGTAGTTATGTGGCTATATAAACACCACTTAGGCATGTGAAGGGGAAATAGGATCTAAGCCCAACAGATTAACAAGTGTTCTGGGGCCAATGCAGCTCCTCAGATGACCTGGTAATTTCCTCATAATTCTGTTCTATTGATCTACTCTGTGCTAGTTTCAACTAATTAGATGATCACATTTCCCTGCAAGCCTTCCAGCTTTTTTGTTTAACAGCCTCCTCTATCCTTGGAAATCTTACTGTATGCTTGGTAATACCCAGGACACATGTAGGGATCCAATTCCAAGGTTAACGTACTTTCTCATGCCTTCCCGTGTGAATCTATCATATTCTATAGCTATGGTGAGTGACCACATATTCTTTCATCACATTCATTGAAGATCTCTTTGTATTGCCTTGCCAGATCCAATGTCTGTATTGCCTTGCTACATGGGATAACTATGTGCCCATGAAAACCCTTATGTCCTACTGTTCCTTGTATCATGATTTTCTTTTATTTTGCTTGTGATTATGCTTTGACTTCTGAAAGCTTATATATGTTTCTCCACACTGAAAAACTGAATTTGGTGCTTAACATTTTTGCTGGTTTTACATTTCTGGTCATACAATCCAGGGGGCAGGGACTGAACAGGGGACCTGCCTTGGGCACTGACTTAGAGGGGATGCTAATATGGCCCTTCCCTGCAAGAGCCTTTGCCACTGCAGGAGCAGCACAGCCCCATGCCCCCTGCTGAGAGCACTGGCCAGGGAGTGGGGGCACCAGGAGAAGCTCCCCTGGCACTTCTGGGTGCAACCCTGGCACCCCCCCCAGTCAGTGCAATTGGCCATAGGGGTGATCCCCCCTCTGGTCACTGATTGGCTGGTGGGGGGGCAAGTGTCCCCCCTGACTCAGATGGCACCAGTTGCCCATGGTGCAGAGTGAGCAAAACCTGCAGCCAGGGACAGTGGTGGGTGGTTCCCCTTTTCAGCACCTGCTCCCTGCCAGAGGCAGCACATGCAGAAGTACTGGGCAGGGAACAGGAATACTGGTAACCCACTTGCTGCTGCTGCCCTCAACCAAGCCAAGTATCCCATGCTGCCACTCTCAAAAATCCCTGGGGATTCCCCTATTCGTGAGTCAGCTGGGGGCAGCCACTGCAATGGGCAGGTCTCCTTCTTCCTGCAGCTAGAGACAAATCCAAGAGCCTAGGCAAACCCATGATGAAGAGGGGAAGTGGGGAATAAGAGAAGAAGGAAGGTGCCTAGACTGGAGAGGAAGGGGTGCTGAGATCTGCGGAAAGAGGAAAACTTATCTGCAGATTTATCTTCCAATATTAAAGATTCCAAAAAGTCCTCACAGCTGCTGCTATGGTGCAGTCTGCCCATGGGGGCAGGGAACTTCAACCACCCTTACAGCTCCAGTTGCGTCTCCTGCACTCCCCTTTTTGAATTGTTAGATTTGCCTATGGATGTGTATGCTGTGAACATGAATTTGATTTGATCACTGTATAAAACGGGGTCTGGAAACCCTTAATACTTTGCACAAGTCTTAAGGGTTATATTCATGCCTCTATCATGCAAGCAAATGTCCTGATTATCAGTGTGTATCAGTTGGCCGCAGACACTAGTACCTAGGGTTGTGGACAACAAACCTGGCTGAGTTTTTGTTACTAATCATCAAACCCTATGGTCTCTTTCTTGGAATAACAAGTTTGTTACAGGCACAGAATCAGAGACAGTGCACTCATAAACCATCCAAACTGAAGGAGTTTGATGAGACCTGTAACAGCTAACCCACGGACAACATTAATGGGGTCAGTAACAACATTGACAGAGACCTACAGTTAGCATAAGTCCCCTCTCTGCTCCCCGCTCAACCTCTGCCATGGGCACTGAAAGAGCTCACTATGCCTCTGCTAGAAGGATGTGAGTAGTATGTTGACACATTATTTATTGCTATTGTTTATATCAATGTATAAGAAAGAAAATGCTGTAGGCACCTTTATCCCATACTCACGCCACTTTTTACAGAACATGAAATAATATAGCACATAAACATAGTCAGCAGCTTCTCCTTCCACATAACAAAGAAACTAAGTAAAATATATCAAGTAAAGATACTGTTGCCTCCTTAGCCACCTCCTCAGAGTCCAAAGAATACAGATAAGCAATGTAGGACACTCTTGAAGGTCAAAAAATAGGATATTTCAGGCAAACACAGTAACTTCAAAACTAGAGAAAACTTCATGATACTTGTAAAGAATGCTTCTTCAGTCTGGTTATTTACTAATAACATAATGAAGCATGAGAGAAACAAAAATATCCAGAATTTTTCTACTGCAAAGAAGAGAGAAAGAAAAGAACTGCATGTGACAGAAGCCAGTGCCTTTGCTTAGCAGAAAGGCCTCAGAAACCGTAGCAATGCGTGTGGAATAAATACATGAACAGGAACATAGAGTTAGAATTAACCTCCTAGGCCAGGGGTAGACAAAATAAGGCCTATCAATTGATCATATGTGCCCCCATATCCCCATGGTGCTCTGTATGATGCCAGGCCCCACCTGTCAACAGCAATGCCTCGGCCCCAGCCAATGCATACAGCTTTTTGGTGGGGCGCTCCTGTTGCTGCAGCAGCCACACAGGTATTGCTCATCTCCCCTGCCTTCAGTGGCTCCTTCTCCTCCTCCTCCTGCCCCTGCTGCACTGCTCTGGGCAGCAGGTAGCGTGGCAAAGTGGAGATAGCCATGGCAACATGTGCCCAGCTGCAGAAGGGAGAAAGCTGCAACTGCATAGCTCCTGCCCCAGTGCATGGGGCTCCAGTTCCAGCTCCTGGCTGCTTTCCACCCAATCTGCCCACCTGGCATGATGAGCAGCCACCTGTGGGCAACCAAGTATCTAGAAGGAAGCCAGACCTAGCACTAAGGCAGCCCCTCTACACGTCCAGCCCCCCCCACACACACACACATACCCCCACCCACCCATAGATACAATATGCAAGAGTAAGACTTTATTTTGAGCTATTATGCCCTACATATGCTACTCAAAAAAATCAGGACAAAACATACTTTTTTGAAATAGAATTAAAATATGTTACAGTAGATGTTTGATTTTTAGTATGATTTGTTTTGTATCTATAACTTGTTAAAATGATATTTTCTGAAAGATTATGTACACAGGCCTCAACAGCTCACCAAAACTCATTTGGTGGTCCATCAGCTGAAATAATTTCCAAGCCCTGTCTTAGGCCATGAATCCACAGGCAACCAATTTTCTGAAAGGTTCCACAAAAAATACCTAGTCCAACCCTCCCATACACCACAGCTACAAAGCACCTGCATAAAAAGCCTACAAAGTGCTAGCAAGACTAGTGCTACAGAGATAAGGGCACTGCCAGTGACTTGCCATTGCAGTGGTAGGGAATTAGATTAAAATATGTTCAGATGATCCTGGGAAGAAGACCATACTCCACACAACAGGGCAGAAAATAAAGCAAAATCTAGGGTACATGACAATCTGACACAGTTAAAAAAAAATTCTTCCTTATTCAGTTTTACTCTGGAGCACATGCACCAGAGCCACCACAGATACCCAAGCAATGCACTAACCCAAGAGGTTTTGAGTGTCCTCATGAGTACCAGCATAACTCAACCTGACTTCCACTTCTAGCTTTCACCAGTTTCTAAGATTTTAAACATAGAGAGAATAAAATTAGAAAAAAATAAAATAAAATAAAATATTATTTTAAAATTTAAAGAAAGCAGAAAACAGTAATGCATTCATGGGGAAAAATATATATTTCCAACAAATTCCTTTTCAGTCCCATCATGGCATTACCAAATACTCAAATCTACACAGGACACACTCAGACAACTACTTCAAGAACAGCCCTAAACTATTGTATTCTCCAACCATAAACCTGGTGAATTCTATTATGAAACAGTCTAGGTCCCTCACCCCATCTCATTTTTAGAAGACTATTTCAGTCTTCTAGTGGTTAAAAGTTATCTTCTAATAGTACAGAATAGAATAAATTGTTATTAGATCTGGTAGAAAAAACTTGAATAAAATCATATCAAAAAAGAAGTAACTGGCACTATTCCTAATATTAAATTAAATATTCTGCACTATCAATCATTGCATACAGTGATCCCTTTTTTGCTAGGGACAGAAGTTACACATAAACCAGTTAAAGTGATCAGAAATCGGTTTAATCCTGTAATAGAACAGAAGTTCAGTGCACATAAACCAATTTCAAAATGGCCAAAACTGGTTTAAGATAAACCTGGTTGAATGAAGTATCAGACTTAACTGATTTAAGTCAAACCAATTTATAAAATTTCTGTCCCAGATCCCTTCCTGGTTCAAATTAAATTAGAGTTCCCCAGCATGCTTTGCAGCCCTGAGCTAAGCTATGCTGTCTGCTTAGTAGAGCAGTATTGGCTCCACCCCTCTGCTCCCCAGCTGGAGCAGTGAGGACTAGCTGACAAGGGGCTGGGGTAGGAAACCTGGCTGCTACAACCCGATCTGCCTGGTGGAGGCAGAGGAGCCCCTGGCAGACTTTTCCCTGCTGGAGTGCAGGGGGCAG